TTGTGTGTGTGTGTGTGTGTGTGTGTGTGTGTGTGTGTGTGTGTGTGTGTGTGTGTCTCCAGCCTCATTTTAGTGGTGGCTTCTGGTGGGAGGGTGTTCCACCCTGGAGTTAGGAGGAAGGCAGGCCTCTCCAGACACCCTGTGAGCAAGAGCACAAGGGTCTTTTGTTGCAGAGTCCTTGGGCTGTGTGCCTAAGAGTGGTGCCCCATGTGCACTCACATGCATAGGCTGTTGCGCAGTCCCCAGCGTGAGAAGGCCGAGCAAAGAGCGCGCAGCTACCCCTTGCTGCCTGCCACCTCCACCCATGTGTGTCTATGGAAACTAACAGCACTCCTCAGATGGGCCTGCCCTGGTATCAGATGATGCCTGGGAGACATCCAAGGTAGGAGGTACCAGCTTCAGGGAGAGCAAATCATCCTGGCTGGTGGGCATCATAACACTTCTGGCTTCATACGTCTGCTGCTTCTCCTCCTCAGTGTCTCTGCCCCCCAGGAGGTCGATGACAGGCATCTCCCGCTCTGAGTACACTACCAGGGGTGGGAGAGAGGGACTCACCTGTCCCCCTAAGATGAGGTGGAGTTATATATAGTAGGGGCAGGTCTGGGGTGCTACCCCGGAGTGGTAGCTCCACTCGCAGACCACTTTCAAACCCCCCCCCCCCCCACCCTCATGGGAGGAGCAGTGATCTGTCTGCTCCCTTTAAAATCCAGTAACGTGACACCGCACAAGGTCCCTCTTTGCCTTTCCTCCCACACTCCTCCCTTCCAACCAGTCATAAATGTCCTCATTCCTGCATCTGGTGCGGAGATCCTGGAGGTTGGTCTCATCACCCCATACCTCAATGAGGTCCAGGATCTTTGCACCAGACTAGGAAGGTGCACACCTCTTTTGTCTAATGGCAGGGTCCTGGGAGCTGGCTGCCTGCTCAATTGCAGCAGTGGAGGGCTCAGACGGAGCACGGGGATGGCTCGTGTTAGCAGGGACAGCTGTGCAGACTGCTACTCTGTGGTTCAGGGCTGTCAGGGCCTGCCATGTACTACAAGCCTTTTCTCCTAAGGCTGCACCTTTGAGGCCTGCAGGGGAAGGTGTACTATAGAGTTTTGATGAGTGTGGACAGAGGGGCCAGCTGGGCACCCATGGGAAGGGCTGAAGGGCAATTATTCCAGCTGCACAGTCTATACATGCACTATTCCGAAATAGCTATTTCAGAATAGGCATTATTCCTCGTAGAATGAGGGTTACAGACGTTGAAATAAGCCGCCCATTTTTTCAAAATTATTTCAAAATAACGGGCTTGCTGTGTAGACATTCATGTAGTTATTTCGAAATAATGCTGCTGTGTAGACATGCCCGCTCTCAGATAACGAAGCTCCTTAAACTACCAGAAAGGGGAAAAAAACAGGCAACTCTGGTTCCATGAAGATTTCTTATCAAATGTGTTTCTAATTAGTTACATATAATAGAGAGCACCAGAGGGATTTGTTCCTTGTCACAGAACTCTCAGTGCCAAATTTCCAAAATGTTTAGCTGAAGCTCCTGAGACCAAAGAGGCAGTTATGATTGTATGTGATCCAGTGATAAGAGATGCGCCTGATCTTAAGCAGCTGAAATAACTGTCAGTGGGAAGTGGGGGCATTCTTGTTTTTTGAGATAATTACGTTCGATGCTCATCTGGTAGCAAACACTCAACATCACATTTTCACAAGTAGGGGCTCTTAAAAATACTGGAAAGGATTTTTTGTGGTTGTCCTTTAATAGCAGTTGTTGGTTTAAAAAAAATATAAAAGTCAGATGATGTTAGCATTTGGAATGATTGTGACTAGGCAGTTGGAAAAAAAAGAAAAAAAACAATAAATGGTCTAGTAGCACTTTATAGACTAACAAAACATGTAGATGGCATCATGAGCTTTTTTGGGCATAGCCCACTACTTTTTAAACATAAAGGACTCTGCTATTACAAAGTGGCTTGCTGCATTGTATTGACCCAACACCGTGTGCTTGCTTTCCAAGGCATCTTTTAAATCAGCTACTGCACGCGTACAACATGAAACAGAAATCAGAATCTTTAACTCAGTCAAACTGCCCCCACCACAGTGCATGTGTAAACAATATAAAAAAATAAAAAGGCTAACTTCATGAAGCACTGAGAAATTAATAACTGCCAGAACTAAGGTTGCTTAGGAAGCCTTATTTTTGCCCTCATTTTGCTTTGCGTCACAACTTTGTGCTAAATCATGAAGGTGCTTTTGAAAGTCCCATCCTTAGAGAATGGACCTGTGTAAGTCAAAAATTAGCTTGCTCATAAAGAGTAACATCAATATTTAGATTTAAGGTTTAGTCTGCTAGACTAAAGCTTTATTAATAATAATTTTAAATAAAGGTTGCTTATCCAGTTGTCTGACAATGGTTTAATTGTAATGTAAGAAATGTAATACATAAATTTAAATGTTGTTTTCATATGATCACAGGCAAGATTTTTCAAGTAAAGTTAGAACAATGTGTGGAGGCTTAGGTTTTGGGTAGAAAGTAGGATGACAGACCATATGTACATGTTGAAGTGTCATATCAAGAAGTACCAGCAGAGCAGCACAGGGATCAGTTTTAGATTTAATAATATAACTTACTTACAGGCAAGTGTAAACAACAGTTAAACTACAGTACAATCCTTACACCTAGTTAGGAAATCAGACTGTAGCAAGAATGAGAGAGAAAGAGAGACATTGTAAAAGAATCTAGAGAATGGAGAGGACTAGGCAGAATTTAACAGAATGAGATTTACTTGAGATAAGACAGATTATAGACCTATAAAAGGTGAAAATGCTAGTGAAAAAGTAGTAAAGTGGGGAAAGATCTGGAAGCAGTACATTAATTCATAGTAACCTATATGTTTCACAGTGGAATGCTGTCAAAAATTAGAAAATGTTCTATTGGACCATATAAAAAACTGAACATTATAAGAAAGGGACGTATTTCTTTCTTTCTTTTCCCCCCTAGAAATGTGGTAAAGACAGCCATAGATTCAGAGCTGTCCTATCTGTAGCATGGTTTGGGATGGCCACCCTAACCCTAAGCTCCAGGGAGCCCCGCGTGACCACCTCAACCATGCTGTGGCCAGGTCCCAGGGAGGCCCAGATGATTACCTGGGAGGAGGGCCTTGGCAGAGGATGACAGCAGGGAATGATGCTCCTGTCCTGCACTCACTGGAGCGGTGGGATCCGGAGGAGCCCAACAGCATGCTCTGCTATGCCTATCACCCTCTCCCAGCCTGCTGTGCTAGGCTTCCCCACAGCAGTGGGGAGCAGAGTGCCTTGGCCCCAGGGCGTGCCGCTTCCTACCGCGGCAGAGAAGCAGGACATGGAGGGCTCAGAAAGGGCAGACGTGCAGAGTGAAATAGGGTGCCCTGGATCCCACCATCTCGGTGAGTGTGGGAGGGGGGATGACACCTGCTGCCATCCCCCCAGCTCTCATTACTGTGCGAGGGGACAGAGCATGTGTGGAATAAGGGGGTGGAGTGGGGAGGGGGACATGGCAAGAGAGGGGCATGCAGCAAGAAGGTTGCCATGGGCCTCACACCCGAGGCACTGGAGCGGGAGGGTCCCTAAGACCTGTGACCTCTATGGATGGCCCTGCTTAGATTACAATGTACAATATGTACTTCTCATGCACAAAATAAAGAGATGGAGATAGTCTAACAAAATACAAACATTTTAACAGAATTAAACATATGAAACAATGTCAGATTAATGTAATGTGTATGGCTTGAGGAAAAGGGAACAAAACAAAATGGAATCTGATAAATTTGTGAAGTCTTGAGGCAGAGGACATTCGTGGCATAACAATGAGAAATGCCCATAAACTAAAATTGGGGGAGGGGAAAGAGGATAGATTAAGAGTTGTTCCATAAACCTGTAACACATACAAGATCCAGGGCCAATAGCATGAATTACCAAACATACAGAAATGAATCAGGAATCACTAGCAAATAGGAATAATAGTCATTAGAAAGGCATTTGCAGATGTTAAGATTTATTAGACATTGGAATAAATCATGAAAAGGTTTTTTGAGGTGCTAACAGCAGGCATGACTAGACAATGTGTCCGAAATTAGCATAGGAAATCTGCAGTTGAGAGGTTACATTTCCAAACTTGGAATTTATGATGTCTCTAGTAAGGCAAAAATGTAGCCATATGTGTAAATGTGAAGAGAAGGGCAGAAATAAAGTGTTACCCCCTTCACTTTCACAACATATGCATATTAGAGAACACAAACCATCAAATGAGTTTCATTCCAGCTTTTCTACTTCCACTGACTAGTATAGTTCAAACTCAGAGAAAAACAAACATTGTCAATGTTGTATTAAAATGAACATTTGTGAATAGTGTACCAGATAGTTTTGTATAGTAGTTCTGAAATGTCATAAAATACATGTACAGAATTCCCTCTAGATTCCTCACCAACATGGTAAAATAGCTATAAAAAAGAAACATCTTCCAGATATTTAAATTTAACTTATGTGATTGCAGAATTAATAATGTATTATTTCTTTCTTATTCCTCTACAGTATGCTGTATGGCTAGTCTTCTGGGTCACATGGAATGTGTTTGTTATTTGCTTCTACTTGGAGGCTGGGGACCTTTCAAAGGTAATTTATCATCTGATATGTCTAGGCCATCAATACAGTATTAACATGCCCCCATTCAGCGGCTAAGTCTTCTGCTACTTATCCTCTTGGTATCATTTAAATGAGATTAGCATGATGTAAACTTTGCATATTCTGTATATTTTACCATTCCACATCTCAGACAACTTGAGGTATTTTGATTTTTTTATATCAACTATACTTTAAAAGGAAAATTAACTTAATTTTTTTCTGGTAGTTATTCAGTGCAAATGCCACCTTTGGGAACGATACAAATGAGATTCTATAACTACAAAGGAAGATTTTCTTATTTGTCTTCTCAAGGATAAATGTGTTCCTTTGGTATCATTTAACTTGCATATTGCTTTGCTGAATTATTTCCAGAGGTCTATACTACAGTGTAAAAATGGTAAAACGAGGTGTCAGTCGTTAAATTAAAATGTAAACTGAGATGCTAGGATATACAGGCATTCATTGTGGTACGAATCTCGGTTTGTTATTCAGAATCTGTGATGAGCTAAGAGAAATTTCACTGAATCCAGAAAAGAACCAGACTCAGAGTGATAGCCATCTTAGACTGTATCTGTAAAAAGCACCAAGCAGTCCTGTGGCCCCTTAAAGACTAACAGATATTTTTGCGCATTCACTTTCTTGGGTGAAAACCACTTGGTCAGATGCATGGTGTAGAAATTACTCCAGAACTCCTTGTTGTTTTTCCAGAAAATAATTCATTTTTCACTCTTACTCTACTGTGTAAGTGCTGCCTCTCAAAGCACTCCGCAGAATATAAATTGAGTATACTATTCAAAAGTATGTTGCGTTCTGATGTGTGCTGCTCCTGCAAAAGTTGGATGAAATCCTAGGCTAATTTGTTACTGCTGCACAGTCACAGTGTGGCAACTGTATCATTGTGCTTCAGTATTCTAAGTTTTCTGTGTAAACCAACCTCAATTGAAGTCAATGGTAAAATTCACTTTGACTTCAGCAATACCAGAGTTCACTTAACCTATTTTTGAGAGAGGAAAATGTGCTGTTCTTTCTGCTTTTGTAACTTTAAACAGGCCCACTCTATTAAAGAACTGGCCAGTGATACAGTAAATGCGATGACCTTCCAGACACTACTTTTTGTTGCTTTACAAATGCTATGTATATTGCAGAATGAATTATAACAGTCTTTGTAACAAACTAGTTATGCTTATGACATCATATACAAGCTAATATTTTGTGTTAAACTCATCCCTACTTAGACCTGTGCTTTGTATACGTTGCTTTGTGTACAATTGTTGCATACATTGGCTAGTCTCTGTCTGTGAATGGAAGTTGCTTATTGCAGACTGATTTGAGAAGGAATTAATATATTTTAGCATTGCATTTTCATGGTTAAAATTATTTAAAAACAACATAAATGAGGTGTTCTAGATTTTTTTTAAAAGTTGGGGGGGGGGGGGTCTAACTGAGGCCTATATAGTGGGTGCATTTGAAAAGTTTATTTTAGTTGCACTGGTATGCTCTATACTTCGAATGGGGAATACCCAGTATATTCCCATTATCTAAATTAAGTTTTCAAGCTATATGTCTACTCTCCTGAGGCTGGCCGGGGGTATCACCTCTAGGGTTGCCAGGTGTCCGGTATTCAACCGGACAGTCTGGTTTTTGGGCCCTCTGTCCAGTTAAAAAAATTCAAAAAATACCAGACGTGCAATGTCCGGTATTTTCTGGTTTTCAGGCTGGGCACCTGACGGAAGCCTGGCAGAGACAGTGGGTGTGGCTGGAAGGTGGGGCATGATCGGCACTGTGAGCCTCTGGTTGTGTCTGACATTTGAGTGATGCCTTAGGGAAGAGCAGAAGTCCTGTCTGTGCTCCTGAGCACTGTTCAAGCGCATTGTGGAGCTGTAGCTGGACTCGCTCATGCTTCGCCAGGACCATGCGTGGGACAGGCATCTCCCTGGAATCTGCGTGTGCCTGGGTCAGTCCCGCTCCCCACCGGCTGATTCTCTCCCCCCTTGTTCTCCCCCCAGCCAGCCTCGCTCCCCCCAACACCCTCCTGGCC